TATATATTTCATGTTTAATGGATAATACATTTTGTTAAACAAATGATAAAATACTCTTGTTTCATTATATTATTTAATTGTAATACGATTTTAATTATTTAACATCTATGATTAGACTACGTTTTTAATCATCATCGTGACATAATGAGCTATAATTTATGAATGTTTACAGTAACTTGTTCTTTTTTAAATTGTTTCTATTAGTTGTCTTGAATTCAGTTGTTAATTAACAAAGTATATTTCATCTTAACTTACATGTTGTGTACCCATGTAATACGGCGGGAGCCGTGAATTTTAACAATTGTGAAGTTTCACTGGTTTTATTAGAGAAGATTTAACAATGATATAAATTGCACTTGGTATTTACATATTAATACAATTTGAATAAATAAGATTTATGGTTCCAATTACAGTCTATCGATGAAAAAAATTGTATAACAGTTTAAAATCCAATATATTTAAAATCCAACATATTTGAACAACTTCATAAATACACCAAGAGCAAAGAATCAATAGATCAAGAACGAGACGAAGAGTTCTAGAGCAATTGAATGAGAGATGAATGAGAGAACTTTTAATAACTCATGGTGAATATCAGTTTGAATCTCACCTTGGGGGATGAGGAGAAGACATAGAAGTATGAGAGGGTGAAGGCATGAGTGAAATGTGTCAAAAGTATTTTGAGAACATGAAAAGAAAAGATAATAATGTGCATTGGTAACTTGTACTATATGTTATTTTAATTGTAGATTAAAATATTTTAAGACTGAATGCATAAAGTAGTAGTACTTAATGCATTATGAGTTGTTTTTAAGACTTTTAAGACTTTGTGCATAAATATATAGTACTTTGTGCATTAAAAATTGTTTTTAAGACTTTTGATAAATATGGTTTATAAGATGATATAGATTATATGTATTAATGTTGATCTTTCACTAGACTTTTACCATCGTTTGCAATTATTTTGTTAAATTTTTGGGGTTAGACCAAGTCGGTCAACGTAGAAACTAATATTCTGATTTGTTAATTAAATTGTTACGTAATATTAAAATATTTTTGTTCTTTTCTGATTAGAATTATATGCAATTAAATAATCAAATTAAACTTGTCTACATTTTCGTCCTTTTTATCGATAAAGTTAGGGGTGCTAAAAAACCCGACCAACCCGATCAATCCGACCAACCTAACGCAACTTAACGTGAAATAACTTAACTCGAATCAACCTGATGTCTAATCGAGTTGTAAAATTTTCAAACTGTAGGTATTAGGTTGATATTGAGTTACTATTATTTGAACTCAACTCAATCAGATAAACCCGATATCATTTTATTTTTTGGATTTAATATGATTGTTGAATTTCTATTAATATATATGCATTAGACAATTAACTATCATGTACATATTTTCAATTTATTCACATATCTATATAACTTATTTGTATATATGTTCAGTAACTATGAACATATATATTTAAATTGAGAAAATTAACTGAATGTGATATACGTGATAAGTATGAATAAGTTGTATTAAATGGTTGATAATGAAAAAGAAATTATGAGTAGAGAAATATCATATTCAATATTTGAAAATATTTTAATGTACCAAAGTATCAACTCGACCAATCCGACGAACCCGACCAACCCGTACGGTTTTGGTTGGGTTCGGTTAAGATTTTTTAAACCACAAGCATTGGATTAGATTGTTAAAATGCCTTCAACCCAATGAACCCAACCCATGAACACCCTAGATAAAGTATCTTTCAGTCACTTTACCCGATGACTATAGAAAATTCAAAACCCATCCCTTAATTGACATTGATTATAGGCGCCTCGACCATTTTTATGTAAAAAATCACATGTAATTTTATTAATTTTATTTTAAAATTATGTGTAAAATCACAGATGATTCATGTGACTAGGTCGTATTTTATATTGTTTTCGTCCACCCTTTTGTTGACAGTTAAGATATTATTTCAAAATATTGCATTTTTTTAAATATGTAATATTTATATACAACAAGTATATAAACTCAGATATAATTTTCTTTTTTGGGTGACTAGAACAATAACTTAATCTCATCGATATATATATTTACATATTTTAAATCTAGAATATTATGGTTTGTGTTATATCACAACGATTATTTTCAATAAGTCAACACAATTATGAGCTTGATTTATAAGACAATATTGTCGGAACCGTACATTACGTGATAGCATGAGTTTTTTGGTTAATGATAAGAAAATTGTCTATATAAATATATGTAGTTGTTAATAGAATCATCAACAAATAATATTCAAATAAATTGAAAAAGTTAATAAAATCTAATTATATAGTGAAATTTTAATATATATATATATATATATATATATATATAGTGTGTGTGAGAGAGAGAGAGAAAGAAATTTGTTTAGGAATAAAGTTGTAAAATTAAATAAAATGAGTAATAATAACGACGAGGGTGTGGATAATTTTGCATTATGTGTCTGATTAATGATGATTTTTTTTTTCTTTTTAAAAAGAGGATTATACATCTGACGATTTTCATTAAGAAATAAATAAGTGTACGTCTAAATCGTACAATAATTAATTATATATACAAAAAATATGGTAAATAAAAACTTAGTCTATAAATAGTATGAAAAGATATTAAGCGATCATTAATACGTATAAATTACTATAGAAAATAACTCATTGTTATAAGACGAATAATATCTACTAATAACAAAAACAAATACTCCTACCATCCCTAAATAAGTGTCTTCGATTCTATTTTAGCTTGTTTTAAAGTAATGTGAACTTTCCAACTCTATTGTTAATCATGAGATAGAGAATTCATTAATCTCTTGATTATAAATGATAGAATTGTCATTTAGTTAATTAAAAAATGTGATGATTACACATCTATAAAATTATAGATATGTATTTTGAGACTTAAACATGTATTAATACAAATTTTAAAGTACAAATCAATAAATAAATATTTTTAAATATTAATCAATAAATATTATTTACTATTATTAATATTCTAATTATTATATTGATG